TATATATATATATATATATATATATATATATATAATTCTTCGAAAAAGCATGAAGCAGAAACTAATCACACTTATGACTTAGAATTTTGAAATTTATCTCAAGTTATCTCAAGCTTCACAATAGAAAGATTATTTACGTGTTTGTTCTATTTGCAGAAAAATCAAGATCTGACCGATAAATAGCTAATAAGATCTGATAATAGAAACTGAAGATAATGGAAGGAGAATCGGAGAATAATGTTTCCAATAAAGATTCTAAAGTAATTTCTTGGCCATATATGAATGTCGGCTCGCTAACGATATCGTTCTTGACCAAATTGGCGGCGGTTGGCGTTATCTGGGGATGGGGATATTTCAACTACAGCATAGCTTGGTTAATCGCGCCGATCGCCTTTTCCGTATGGAAAGCAGAGCGGAAAAGGGATAATGAATTGAGAACGATTACGGCACAGGCCAGTATACTGTCTAAGGAAAAGGAATTAATTATCAATCGAATAGACGAGTTACCTTCATGGGTGTATTTCCCGGACTTTGATAGAGCTGAATGGCTAAACAGGGTATGGATGTTATATTATAAATCATTCTATCCGTAAAATATAGACTTGTAATTAAATTGTTCAACAGTTTTGGAAAAATAAGAATTAATAGTAATCGTATTTTTTTATATTTTACAGATCTTAACTAAAGTATGGCCAAGTATGAATCAATTTGTCCGCCAACTGTGTAAGCAAAGTATAGAACCGTCGATTGTTGAAAAACTGACTGAATATAAGATCAAAGGTTTTCAGTTCGATCGTTTAGTTCTGGGTCGCATTGTGAGTCTATTTCAATTATTTCAATGAGTTTATTTCAATCCCTCTCACATCGTTTCTTTCTTTTCTATAGCATGCCTTATTAATTTTTTTTCGCTTTTAAGATGTACGTAATGAACATTAAATGATCTTTTACAGCCGCCGAAAATATATGGGATCAAAGTGTATGATAAAAATACCTCGAGAAATGAGATCATCTTAGATGCAGACATTATGTACGTATTCTAATTTCCTGCTGTAAAATATATTAACATCTTTGAAAAATATTATAATCATTATTTTTACAGGTATGCTGGTGACTGTGATATTACTTTTTTCGTTGGGAACATCAAAGGTGGGATTAAAGATTTTCAAGTGAGTATATTAAACGTTAATACATGATAATATAAAATATATTTTCTCTTTACAAATTTTAATAAAAATTTAAAAAATTTTAGATACATGGTTTGGTGCGCGTCGTTATGAAACCTATGCTGCCTATGATGCCATTAATCGGAGGTGTACAGATATTTTATCTGAATGTTCCTACTATTAACTTCAACTTAGTGGAGTAGCTGATGTATTAGATCTACCTGGATTCAAGTACGATTTTCTCTTCCAAAATTTTTTTCATTCTGAAATTGACATGATAAAAAATTAGTGTCACTGTTGATTGAAAGGATTAAGCAAACTGGATTTTTTTCAGTGAAATTTTGAGAAAGACAATCATTGAACAGATAGCAGCCATTCTTGTATTACCGAACAAAATAACTATATCGTTAAGCGAAGAGATACCCATGGAATCATTAAAAATACCCGAACCTGAAGTAAGCTTCGCAGAGATGTCTCATATAATACATTATCTTTACTTACATTATTTTTATTTTATTAAAAAATTTTCTTTTAACATATCAGGGCGTTCTGAGAATTCATGTTGTGGAGGCAAAGCATCTGATGAAAAAAGATATTGGAATGTTAGGTAAGGGCAAGTCTGATCCATATGCCGTCATAAATGTTGGTGCCCAGGAATTTAGAACGAAAACAATTGACAATACCGTTAATCCAAAGTGGGACTTCTGGTGTGAGGTACGTGCAATATTTTATATAGTAAAATAACAAAATATTAATAATGTTTTTAATGCATGTGCTTTACTTTGATCTGTCGATATTTTTCGAAAAAAAAGAAAAAAATAACTCGAGGTCTTCTATATGGTAAGAAAAATACTTTAGCAATTTACAAAGTTAATTTTCATAATAAATCTTTTACACACAATCTAGCTCATCGTGTTACTTTAATTAAAAATACAAATGAGATATACCACTTTCTTGCATTTAACATTTTCATAAAAATATAGATAAATATATTTTGTATAGTAAATATTATATATAATATTTGATACATTGCTAATCTAACATCTCTAGCCAGCTATTCAGCTTTCTTACATAATTCATTAGACACAATTCCTAATTAATCACAAACACTATTTTTAAAACAATTCCTACGACCATATTTCCTATTTCCTATTACTTTTACTGGTTAATGTCGTCTTTTCCGCACTGCAAATAGAATATACATTTTAATCTTTCTATGTTAATATAATTTAATTTCATAAGTTGGTATGTATGTGTGTATGTGATGTGCAATATATTATATGGGATTAGTGTGCCGTGACTTCAGCCATCGCGCAGCAACTGACCATACTGCTGTGGGACTATGATGACACAAAGGGGGATGAAAGTCTTGGAAGGTATAGTTATATATGACATTATGTATTTTCTTCTTTTTCATTACTCATATTTCAGATTTCTCGTGTCATTACACAGAGACGAATTCAAAACTAAATTCTATATAATTATAATTAATTCTATATAAATTCTACATATGTCATAAATTATCTTTCTTATTAATCAATATTTATTCTATATTCAATTATTTATTCAATACTTAAAATTTTATACAATTTTTTTATGATGCATATAATTCATTCTAAATCATCTATGAAATCACTTATTTCTCTATCACTTATCATTCTATTTATTTTATTGATCTATGGAAAAGCTTTTATTGCATGATGATCGTCGTAACGCTAATGTGTGGTGATATTTTATTTGTTGGTCTGAATATTGTTTGAATGATATTTGGATGCATGTTGATTTCATTTTATCTTATTGTCTTTTCTAACATTTTAAACTCATAAGTAATAAAATTGTCACGTTATAAGATAAATATTGCAATCATTGTTCGAATTAAATTCTGAACATATCATTTATGAAATTTACACATAGACATAATGTCTATAAGAATATATCATACTACGTTAATGAATTCATAGTACATACATTTAAGACAAACTTACATAGTGCAGCAATGTAAAGCATAGAAGAAGGAGTCATGAACACGATGAATGAATATACGATTGCAAACAAAAAAACTCATAATTCTTTTACGTTTGTTATGCAACATGATATTGGTACACAGGCTATGATCAGTTCATGCAATATGCAAGAAGCTGTGGTATCTCTTTGGGATTGGGATCCGAATGTCCCAGGGGTACAATATGATGATTTCCTTGGCAGGTAGTAACGTGTGATGATTTGTAAATGGCAATGTTTGCATATATATCACTAACAAAAACGTGTAGATCCTGACGCATGTGATTTAGCGATGTTTGTAATTGATGTCTTTGTGATATAGTGCGTGTATCTCTATAAATAATAAAATAAATACTCTCTCCTATTTATTATTATTTGAAAAGATTTATTTTACTAATACTATAAGTATTGTAGCTTGTTAAACGCGCGTTGCACGAGTATTTTTCATTTTCTATATACATTTTTTTTATTTTTTAAAATAAAGTATATGTATTCCAGTTATAGAGTATTACTTTTTAACTTTCTCTAAAATCTATTCTGTATTTTTGATTATTAATAGTTCGTGTAAATTTTTATTTGTTGTTGAATAATTGTAATTAACTTAAACAGTTTGCTATTTTTAACATTTTTTTATAACGAAAAACACAGTTGTACGGTGAACAATTTGGTCTTTTTTATCAGTTAATTAATCGAAGTGATTAGATGACTTTGTTTAATTCGAGAAAGGCAACTAAAATAGACTATGTGGTGACAGTTTATAGTGGAAGAGGGCTTGGGAGCTTACAACACGGTGGTTGCCCACCTCTTTGACAAAGACAACGCTGGTCAAGATGATCCACTTGGCAGGTATTCCTGAATGTAGCAAATACACAAATCTCAGACCAGAACAATAATGCATTTTGCGAGACTTGTAGAGAATGTAAATCATGCGGATACTCTGCCATTGATTATTGTAGATTATGCTTGAAAGACTGCATTTTTCTTATTCCGTGAGTTACTTGTGAAATACTGCAAAATATTTAAAGTATTTTAAGCGTAAAAATTAATCAGGTATCTGTGACGTGCATGCCATTAACTCAAAGCACATGAAAAATATAATACATGTAAAATACTATGAAATTGTCGTACCAATCGTAATTCGAGATTCAAGATAATTCCGAATTTTATGTCACCACATTACTCTTTATACATTAAACAAGTATTGAGAAGTCTATTTTATTTACGCAATAAAGTAATGTTGTGGAGTGTTGCATGTTCAATTTTATTAAGCGTGCAATAATGTCTGTGTATCATATTATTATTTAAAGATAAAATTAGAAATATATTAGAAATAATGATTGCATAATGATTATTGCTGCATGAAAGCTTCCTAAATGAAAATCGTATTACAAATTTTTTATCTAAATCACGGAGATATTTTATATACAAATTTAATAATCATACTGCTATCATCATCACTGCCAAAAGCGCCTATTTACAATTTTACTCTCTTTATTCTTGGAAATTTGGAAATATCTCTTTATTTTTGAAAATTTAATGAAAATTTATTACATGTAATTCAAGATTATTTTTTTTAATTTATTTTTATTTTGTATTGTGTCAGGGCCACTGTCGAAGTTAATCGAGTGAAGAAAAAAGGCATGATTGATACAGTGAGTATGAAATTTATTTTTATAATTCTTTTTCTTATTACTAATATTAATTATATTTTCTAGTGGGTCACTTTGGAGCAAGCAAAGCACGGTATGGTTCATCTGCGACTAATGTGGCTGCAATTTTCAAAAGATCCTGCCGATTTGAAAGCCGTAAGTAGAAAAAAATACTCATAAATCTCTATGAAATCTCATTGTAAATAACTTTTTAATTAATATACTTGTATATTGTATATTAACTAATAGGCTTTAATGGAAACTCAGGAACTTAGAGTTACATCGATGAGTACCGCCGTTCTTATACTTTATATCGATTCTGCTAAAAATTTGCCAGTACGTACGTTGTAATACGTAAACAAGAAGCACAAAACTGTGTTATGTGACAAAATGTCTAATTATTATAAATGTTTAATTATTACACGCTCAGTGCATTCGAGGAAACAAACAGCCCGACGTTTACTTGGAAGCAAGTGTCGATGGAAAGAAAGAGAGAACAGCCACTGTACCACGTTCTTGTGATCCTGTGTGGGAACGAGGATTCATCTTTTTAGTTAGCAATCCCGAAACTGGAGTTTTGCACATAAAGGTATTCTACAAATCTTTTTCGTAAAATCTTTTATCGTTGTTTAACAGTAATTAATTGTTTGTTTGCCTTTTAGATTACCGATGAGAAAACTGCCATGATAGTTGGAGAAATGAGTTATAATCTTTCTTTACTTTTGGAAAAGAATAATCTTGAAGTAACGCAACAGCCATATAATCTGCAGAAAGCCGAAGCGGATAGCAAGCTTGTGCTGTCGATGTCATTAAATGTAAATAATAGGAAATTTTACATGTATGATTTAATGACGAAGTATCATATTCTGTGCGTCGATAAACAAAACAATCTATTTTTACAGATATTAAAATATGAACAACCTGAACCTACTTCTGAGGAAGATGAAGATGATCACGACATCAATGAATTAAATAAACGAATCGAACGTCAAGAGTCCAGTATTAGTAACGTGATATCTTCTAGTGGTAAATAGAATCATATTAACAAATATTGCTATAAATCTAACATTTTTGGATTGAACAATATATTATGCTTACAAAAATTATTATTTTCAAATTATCGTTAAAATTATTTAATTTCCCTAAATTGTTAACAACACGATATGCATTCTCTCACAGTGCCACCAAGTCCTCTTAAGAAACAGCCTTCGAAAGAATCGGTCAACAGTCAAGCACGTAGCACTGGATCCGCTGCGGCGCTGCCGGAAGAACCAGCAACGGGAGAAGAAGAATTAATAGTCAGCACCAGTGCCCCGTCCTCTTTGACCGGAAGCCCTCAGCTTATTCACAGAAATCCAAGCATCACGTCCTCTTCGGGTGAAGCGAAACTAGGGAGAATACAGTTGACTATACGTTACAGCATACAAAGACAGAAGCTTACCGTTTTCGTGCACAAAATTGCGTAAGTTAATCTCAATTAACTAAATATAACATTTCGCATTTGTTATAATCTTAGTATCATCTTCGCCATATGTTACGTTACAGTAATCTGCCGCTTCCCCAAAACGATCCACACAACATACCGGATCCGTATGTAAAACTCTACATTTTGCCGGATAAACATAAAGAAACGAAGCGCAAGACTATTGTGGTGAAGGACAATTGCAATCCAACGTTCGATGAGCAATTCGAATACGTGGTCTCGCAGGGAGACTTAAACACACGCGTATTAGAAGTATCTGTATGCACTCAGAAAGGTTGGTTGTCGACCGGAAGCAACGTGATGGGGCAGGTTCACCTGAAATTGAGCGAGATCAATCTTTCGAAGACGGTCTCCGCCTGGTACGATTTACAACCGGAAATCAAAGACTAGAAAAAAGAAGAAGGAAGTGGGGATTTGAGCGTTTATGCGTCTGTCTGACGAAACAACCGCTTAAATATCCACTTGATAATTTCTACAAACGATGAAAGTCTCAAATATTACAGTTACTTCTATACTTCGATGAATCATTATTGTTATAATGGTTTATTATTAAGATGAGTTACTATGCGGTGTTATATGAGAACATTTTACAAGAAACGATATTAAAAGATATTATGTAACGAGATGTTCGAGACAAGTACTTATGCCGTCTAGTGGCACAAAATGATCTGATATATAATATTGTCGTAGTTATACAGCAGAGGCAAATTGGTTTATTAACTTGATTTAGAAAATTTCTGATATTTTATATAATCTATGAAGATTTTATAGACGAATATATAGAATATAATATATACGCGCACGAAAGGATTAAATTCCAACAAAGACTTTATACGCATTATAATTTTACGTGTTATTGTTATTCTCTTTTTGAAAATGTGCCTAATATAATTAAACGCTGGACGTTTAATTGATGAAGATCTATTTGGCATGCAATGTGTATATGAATTTCAATTATGAATGAGTATTCGTAACGTATGAGAATACAAGAATTACGATTAAAACAAACGCACATAGAATATCGAAAATTTTTTTATCCTTATGCCGATCCGCACCTGGCACTAAATATATTTTGTATTTTCCTTTATATTTGAGTGATAATTAAATTACGTCACAAAATGCATAATATGTGCAGAAACTATTACAGAATGATCTGAATAATATTTTATATGATTAATTTATATGCTTATATTTATAATTTATATCCTATTTATATGCTACGAGAATTAGTTATATAAGTTTTTGTGATTGTACTTCACATTTTTCTTTTATTATATTTTTTTCTTTTACTATTATATTCCATTGTTTTGTTACTAATAAAGTTAAATAATGCATTTATAAATTACACAAGCAATTAAACGAACATGATTGTACTAATATTGAAATAATTCATATTTTATAAGATACTCATTGATATAATTTTAAGATGACATAATTTTCTCTTGACATCTAATTATTGTATACGCCTTATATTTGTATTGAAGATTTTGCTATATTATACACATACATACACACAAATAAATACATACATACACAAATATATCTATGTATATCTATATTCTGTGACGTATGACTCTGTCAGTAATGTCACGAATTGTTGAGAACAATAAATATCGTGTGCATTGTCACCATTCGTTACTTTATAGCCAAACCGATATTAAAATATTAATTAATAAATTAATTATGTTTTATATAAATAATTTTTATATAAGTCATCACATCTATCTTTCTAATATTGTAAACATTTTGTGCAATCATTAGTTTGTGCTATATAAATTAATTTGTTGAAACTGAAATCCTTATATCAATAATTAAATAAGAAGCTGCTTTTATCTTGTCCTCTGCAATAAATCGTCATTCTCTTCGTGTATTATCGTATAGATCCAACGATCACCAAGGAAACTCAACAATATAGCGTGAATATAGTGTTTATTGGTGATATTCTTATCGCACGGAGAAGTAAGTTTTTATATCAAATCGTACACTCCTCTTTGCGCCTTTCGTAATGGATTTATGAATCAAATGATAATTTAACTGTGAATTGATAGAATTTTTATCAGTATGCAACGAGCGCCGATATTACCTTGTCTCCCAGGATTTAGCATTGACAGAAATGTGAGTAATCTTATATTTAAAAACGTAGTTACAATGCGCGATATGACAAAATGTTTCACGTCGTTATTAGTATTATTGTTTGTAAAAAAATATAAAAACATTAGTTTACTTCAGTGTAAAATGTAGGCGCGACGATGAAATACTAGTGCGCACAAGAAAAAGATATACGTTATTAATATGTTTGACAGTTTGGTAGAACAAGATTTCACAAAAGTCAACATTTCGACAAGATACATGATGGAGTGTACTATTTATCCGAGAAAGCGGATACGAGAGCGTACAGTCATTATTCATCCCTCTATCCTCGAGGAAAGGAGCCAGAAATTCCGTCGTGGCTTGCATACGATGGCCAAGTATGATTGATAGTAAATCAGTGAAATAAAATTTTAATACCTCAAAGCAACTTCTTTGTAACGTTTTATATAAAAATTATAATAAAAGATTGTGGGTAAAATGAAATAAAAAAAGATTCCTTTTTCATTCAAATATCGTAACATGATTCTAACTAATGTCACTTTCTTTCAATTATGTTTTTAGAGACTTATGTTTAAAGCGTTTTTCCAAGAGACTGTACAAGAAAAATGGAAAACGGCTTTTCACATTCGTGTGGTGAACATCAGTTTTTTTCTAGAAGACGGAACAATGAAAATTGTAGAACCATCCGTGGATAATAGTGGTCTTGAGCAAGGTTCAACGGTGCATTTCCTTTTCGTAATTCACTTAGAAGTTAAACAGTATTTTACTTTTACCCTTATTTTTGTTTTATTTTATTATATTTTATTCTTGGTGTAAAAATTCAAAATATAGAAATCGGCGATTATATTTTTATTAGCGTTGTAAAGCGTTGGTATATTACTACAATTTTATTAATTTTCGATTCACGAAGGTGTTTTGGTCAGACGCCAGAGGATACCGATTCCCGATCCAGTGAAGTACAGATATTACGACGTGCTCGATTTAAATGTCGGCAAGGAACCCGAGATATATGGACGAGTATATAAAATCGTGGACTGCGATAAATTCACGAGGCAGTTTCTCAATCGCATGGGAATATCAGTGCCCGATCCGATCGAAATACCAAAGGATCCATATCATGAAATTCAGAAAGCTGTAAGTGCAGAATAATATAAATAATCACAATACGTCCACGAAATCACTCTAATAACGTTTTTATTTTAAAGCGTATACTTGATTATTATTTGTATCTCGTCGTTACTTTTTTGGTTTTAATTATTATAATGTTAAGAAAATTATTACATTGTTTAAGTATTCTTAAAATTTGATTATGATAAATGTATATCGACACGTTATAGGAAAGGGAAGTATTTCCAAAGAAGCCTAATCGCACGATAGATACTCTTGGGAATTTTTTGAAATACGATAGACAGGTGCTCCGATTTTATGGATATTGGGACGATACCGAGAGTCCTCATGGTATCGTCCATGATCTTGAACTGCATTATTATCTCTCTGATAATACGATGGAAATTAAAGAAAATGTATCGCCAAATACTGGCCGAGATTCCGGTCCAATGCTCGTTAAACGGATGAAGATACCAAAGGTATCAATGCTTCAATATAATTTTTTCATAAATTTTAGACAGAAAGTCATCAATTTGTTATACTAAATTTTGCTCTCGTATTAGATAATTTATTATTATAAAATTAGTTAATTCTAAATAAGTGGCAAATTTTTTTATCTATATTTTAAAATTAATTTTTCAGTTTTATACCGGCTTGGAACCAATCGGCGCGGAAAATCGTTTTACGGTTCTAAATGTGCTAGGCGAAAATATAAGGCAAGGGTATTACATGATGGATTCTTTAGACACTGGCAAGATTACCGATTATTACAAAGATAACGAACTAGCTATCGGAGCGGAAATTAGCGTTTTTGGTAGAAGAATTGTCATCACGGATATGGATGCCTTTACAAAGGAATATTATAGGTAAAATAACTCGGGAGTTTTTGTATCTTTATCGAAGCTTGATATACATATTTCTTCAATAATTTGTAGAACAAAATATGGCTTGGATGATTTCACGCCTCTGATACATCCTCGAAAGGACGATGAGTTATATCAAAAGGTTGAGAGGTACATACCGCCTTACAATGGTTTTGGATCTTATGATGATTCCCTCGGAAATTGTTTTACAATGATACCGAAACCGCCCAAATCAGACTTCATTAAATTCTTGTATCACGACAAGTGAGTCAAAAGAAGAGACAAAATTAATTTCCACTTAATTTAATTTTATTTATTTTTCTTTTATGTTGTTTTAGACAAGGCTTCAACAGCCACGTCTTGAGATTTCGGGCAAAAATGATATCAAAAATCCCAGAGAATGAAGAAAGACAATTTATTATAAGAGTATTTCTTATGGACGACACGATATCTATTTTTGAACTGGCGAAACGAAACTCAGGTATTACAATATCCAAAAAGTTTGGATTTTTAGAAAATCTGTTCCAAATGTGTTTTGTCATTAAAAAAAGATAATCTTCGATCTTACGTTTATAAATAAATTAAAAATTAATTTTTAAACTGTTATAATACAGTAATATATCTCATATATACATGTATATATACATAAATGTTACGTAATGTTACTAGAATAAATGTAATATTATTAGAATAAAATGAAGAAATCAAAAGATATCAGAATAATATTAGAATGTAAGGGAATTAAATCAGGCTTTCAGAGATCCTTATTTCAAAAACGGATGCCGATAATGTTGCCTTGTCAGAATATTTTCACAAGTAAGAAACCGGAATACTACAAATCACAAGATTTTTACATAGGAGCACGCTTAAACCTGTACGACTTTCATTTTGAAATTACGTCTGCGGATGTTTATGCCCTGCGTTACATGGAGTTACATTGCGATAAGGTGCGTGAAAACGTACATCTGCAATATTCCTTCCGACAAACAAATTAATTATATTTGATTCTGTAAAAAGTTTTATTTAAAAAACAAAATTACAATTCCTGAAGTTGAATTTATTTAAGCAATTCAATGTAATAAATTGAGAATATTGTTTAAATAAATCCAAATTCGGTTCTAGATTCATATTTTTATTAAGTTGATATTTTTACAATAAGATTTTCTCATGGAGAAAGGGGAGTAATCAATATTTATATATTTAATATTTGATTATTGATTTATGAAAGGAAAAATTTAGAAATCTCTGATCTTTAGGTCGCTAACATTGCAAGTTTGTTAAAAATAATGGCTTGTTAAATAATGGTTTGTTAAAAATAATATAAATACGTAGTCTCATAAATAATATAAATAATTATTTTAAATTTTATATACATATATAAATTAAAAGGAAATTATTAGACACTTAAGATTCTGCCTCACCGAGTATTCGCTACTTATTATATTTTGTTATTTGATTTGTTATCAAGAAAAGACTAATTCTCTTTCCATTTTTTCAGTTTCCTAAAGCAAACAAAAAAATAATAATGGAAAAACTGCGAGAAAGTTTACAGCCCGTTTACAAAGAGTTTATTCAATTATATGCTCCACCTGAAAGCACAAAAGATGATATTCGAGTTTTGGAATATGAAAAGCTTAGGTAGATATAAAATGAATTATATTTTTTCTATGTCCGATCTTATGATTTCTACAATCAAACTCGTATTTTCAGAGAAGCATTGCGCCGATACATGGGGGACAAGATAACAGAACACGAAATGATTACGATTGCTCGCTATTATTCATCTCATGAGAAAATAGAACACCGATCAAGAGAATATGTAAGGTACGCAAATCTTGATTTCTCAGTTTTAGTCTAATAAAATATTATAAAAGATAAGATTTTGTTTAAGATTTTATTATTTTTGTGAACTGTAGGCAGCATAAAACATAAAGAATTTAATAATTAGAGAATAAAGAAGGCAACTCTCGGCAAACTCGATCTTAGAAGTCTGATAATTTTTTTCTTTCTATCGAATTTATCGAAATTAATGCTGAAAATAAAAATTAAAAAATAAAAAATTTATCGAAGATAATAATTAAATCTTTAATTATTATCTAAAAAATTTGATATTAAAAGTTAAGTAAAAATAGCTAAGAAAAAATTGTTAATTAATAAAATTGATAATAATCGACGGTATCTTTAGACGTCTGCTGCATACAGAACTATACCGATTTCTGTGGAATGATCTTGATTGCTTGGAGAAGGATTTACATCATTGGGATGAAGACAGAACAGGATTTTTACCTCGAGAATCCCTATACACGATTCTGCGCGGTTGCAGAATTCCCGTTGATGTGGAACTATTGAATTCTATGCTAAATCAGTAAGTTTGAATCAATTTGAATGATTTAATTGATTGAAGCATTAGGCATTATACCTTAACGTTACAATTTCTACAAGCTTGCACAAGGCTGAAGACGGCAGAATTGATTACAAGGACATGCTACAGTTCATGAACGTGAAAATCGATCCTCTACCACCCGCCGAACCTGTGAATGTAAAAGTATGTCATTGTAACTTTTATCTGAATTTATATTTTTCCTAAAAAATTCTTTAACTGATATGTTTTAAATATGTCATACAAATGTTTTTCTGATAGTTGCTAAAAATATTTTAATCGATGTCCTTAAGATATCATAATATTCTCTGGGTTAATAAGAAAGAAAATTAATCTTCTGATAACATAATAATTCTTCTTTTTCTATCTGTTGAATTTCTGACTCTGAAAGAATCAAAGTAGCATGCTTCAAAAGATCAAGTAGATACTCTTTATTAATTATTGTTTTATATACTTGCAGACGGCACTTTGGTGGGCATCCGAGAAAGAGCCGGACTGCGGAGAAGGGATAAATTGGTGCGACTTTATCAAAGATCTGGACATAAAAGCGGAAGAAAATGTGGTGAAAGATAATAGCAATACGGAAACGGAACTCGCGCTGACACATCAAATATAATCGGGATCATGCAAAAACGATTTCTAATTACAACAAGGATAGTATAATAATCTTTTTTTAATAAATATACAATCTTCTATTGGTATTTCTCATTTCAATTTTGCTATCAATATTTATTATAATGGGACACAGATTTGGAACAGAATTTGGCAATAATATTGGGAGAAACAGGCAAAGAGATATGGCAAAAGCTTATATAACAAAATACAATAGGCTGATAGAAGAATCGAGATTTTGATATACTTGCTAAATAGTTTAAATAAACTGAAATCAAGCAGAACTTATCCTCAACAAATTCTATTCGATTTCTGCCTTCTAGGAAAAATAAAAATCGGAACATAAATGTAGCGCAAAGAAAGAATGACAAAAACGTAAACGAGATTTCCGTATTTTTATTTTCGCCAGGGTAGAAATTGTTAAAAATGTTTTAATAAAAAAACAAGTATTATAACGAATAAATTTATCTAAAAAAATATATATATTTAAATATATATTTAAAGACAAATTTAAGGAATATGTGTTAATTGATACTGGAGGTAATTCTCGTTGATGAAGAAACGATATTTACCGTTTGTAAATGGTTTTACGACGAAGCTGCAGTTGCAAATTGACATAAGCGTAAATCTCGCGTTTAACGGACAAAAAATTTGTTCGACTCGTATCTGAAGTCGAAACGAATTCGTGATATACCGCTGCCGCCTCTCGGCTGCTGAATTATTCATAATCAGGTGCGAGTTTTCACTTTGGGAATTGAATCTTGTCATATGTTCGAACGATCGGTACCGCGCGATTTTCGCTTCGTGCGGGATCGAGAGGGATATAAAGTCTCGTCTGCCATTTCCAAGCAACGTGTATTTGCAGAAATGTATATGTAGGTTACATCGAAATGTCGAGCATTCTATGTACACTGCTCTGAGCTGCTACGTTCTTAAAGCCGCGAGACGACGCCAATTTACATTTAACTTCGCGATTCCGTCGGGAAGAACGAACGTATTTATTTATCATCGTCCACGCGAACGTGAGTCCGCCGTAATACACGCACACACACATCGAATAAATAGCAAGTAGCACTAGAGATTAAATAATTCTTCTACTACGTATCACCACGCGAGAAAAGGAAAAGAGAGAGAGAGAGAGAGAGAGAGAGAGAGAGAGAGAGAAGGAAGGAAAAAGAGAGAGAAAGAGAGTCATACACATTCACGGTAAATAATTTATCGCCTAATAAATAATTATCGGCGCGTTATCCGCGTTTTCGCGGGATTCGCGATTTTTCACGCGCGCATCTCGCAGAATTAATTAATTCTACGTTTAATACGCGGTGCATTTGCGCGCGCGCGCGCGCGTTTTCTTCTTCGAGTAGATCAAGATCATTCTCCGTCGCATCGCCTGAATACTAATTGTCCCGGCTCTTCAATTGCATTCGTATGTCTTCACAATCCGCCGGCACGTCTTGCACTTCACGTAGCAACAGCTAATGTACTTGCAGTCGCATCTCTCCAAGATCTCTTCGGTCCTGGTCGTATGGTCGCGACCGCAGCAGAGATATTCGCAACCCTCGTAACCGGAACTGCTGCCGTTACACTGCCTGCAAAAAGATTTTTCTTCAGCTCGTAATCACCACGATATTTGCGAGAAAATATTAATTTTAAAGAGATTATTGATAACTGAATATAAAATATAAATATAAGTATTTTTTTTTAGAGAAATTTTATAAATTTATAATTTTCATGTTTATTGCCTCGGAAAAGACTTTCAACTTTGAACTTGATAATAATTTTTATTAATAGCCAAATAAAAAGATATAAGTAAAATAATCGGATAAAAAGAAATACATAACGCGAAAAGAAGAATAGTTTGAAAAGAAGGATGCAAGTAAAATTTTGTAATTGATTTTCAAGTATTTTTTTAATGATATATTTAATTCTTGTATTATTAATGTGATTTTTTAAATTTAATCTCAATTATTGAATATTACAAACAAATTAGGTTTTACGTACCATAATCAGACAGCGATATATATTTTTTTTTAAAGATACATACATTAATATATTCCTAAAATTGTTACTCATCTTCACAGTCTGTAATAATTTCACAAATTAATGTAACAAATCCGTGGAAGAGCGGAGAGACGATAAACTGTATTATTTCAATACTCTCCATCGGAACTTCTTCTCCGGTTACTTCATTAAAACCCCTCAAACCCCATTATTATTCGATTTGCATGACGTCCGCCTCTGACGCCGTAAAGATGCCCGTCTTGCGCGACCGCGACTACCGCGTAGATTACGCGGTGTTAATAACAAAAAAAAAAAAATAAATAAAAGGGGATCCCGTGAAGCGTTTCGTCGTAACGCGGAACACGGTCGGGCACGGCGTGATAAACGTTCGCCACGCCCACTTCGTATAATTACACGCGGGCCTGTAATTACTGGGTTGTAGGCTGTAAACCGGCGAGACGAGTCGGTGGCGGATCGAGGAACCTGACGTCATATATCAGAGCGGGGCGAATAAAATATCGACGTGTCCGAAACGACGGATTAGACGCGAAATTATCGGATTCCGTTTGCGCGTCGTCCCGGGGAAGAACAGGAAAAGCTCGTCGCGCGCCGCGATGCTTCACGCTTCGGCCGATTAATCTCCGCCATGGAATTAATAGCGACGCGCGAAATCGCGTTCACGCTACGAAATAAACTAACATCCGGGCTAGATAGGCCGCGATACATACGTCAGCCGATCGAAGGAGCTGGCTTGTCCATTAATGAATCAATGACCGTCGATCGTTTGTGAAATTTGTACAAGGACAAAGGAATGTTCACCAGTAGATTCGCTCTCTCGACATCACTGAAGAAAAAGGCTATTTTATATTAATCAAATCGTGTTTGATCACCTTCCGCGATTAGATTTCGAAATAAAATGAAATTAAAATAAGATTGCTCCAAATAATCTTCGTCGTTTTGGACTAAGTACGGAAGCTTCGATTTTAAAATCGTGTTTTACTAAAATCCGGGAAGTCAGATTTAAATTTATGAATGAATATTTAGGAATGTGGGTCAATGCAGTCGCGCGAGGAATTATCGTGAATTATTCGATGCGTAAGCTATGGTGTATTATTTTTCGCGTCACTTCTTGCGACGTGAAGGCGAAAGGCGAACAATAAACCGGTGCGATTTATGGACCGAGCGAAACGAAACAAAAGATTCACCGGAACCGCCATGTACGTCCGGCATTTCCTGCATCTTATAGCTCTGGTTATCATCTCCGGATGCCGTGGATGATCTTAATTCACTATGGAGCGAGGCGTGGATAATTTGAGGACGATGGAGTGCCGCCTCCTTTCCGCCGCCGGAAAATCCGTAACGAATGCAATCACCGTGTTATAAAAAGCCGCCCTTCTTCTCAGAACGGATGTGGCTCGCGCCTTTCTTTAGTTTGTGATAAATTAGTAAGTATATCTTATATGGAGCGATCCAACGCACAAAATTATACCAATAATTTTATTTAAAAATAATTAATAATTTCTCATAATTATATATACTTTTTAAATAATAAACTTAAAAAAAAACAGATATTGCAGCAGATAACACAATCTGATTTAACGTGAAAAATCCATTCCGTGTTCATCAAAAAACCCAACAGCACAATCACTCATCAGAATAGTCCAATAGTCCAGAGAGAATCATCTAATAATTTTATTTAAAAATAATTAATAATTTCTTATAATTATGTATAGTTTCCAAATAATAAATCTAAAAAAACACAGAGACATCGTAGCAGATAATAATATCTGATATCTGATTTTAACGCGACGAAAAATCCATTTCGTATCCATCAAGAGCTCAACAGCTTCTCGGGAGGGAGCGGAGGGTGAGAAAGTCATAAAGCATCCTCGTTAAAAGCGCACTTCGAACGGTAGCGCTAACTCGCGAAATGGTATGTAGCGAAAATTAGCGTTAGCACTTCTTGGACGGCGATGGCGATGGCGGTGGAAAAAAAAAGAGACGGCAAAAGAACGGTGAATGGGCAGTCGTAACGGTATTCGCGCGGCAAACAGTCTGTCGAACAGGGCATCGTAAAACACAAGCGTGTTCATTCGGTTTCGAGAACAGGTTCGGGATGGCGGGATGAGCGTCCTATCTCTCTGAGAGGCCTTCTCTCATTCTCGCCTCGCGCACGTAATTACCGGCATGCACATATAAATAAGCCTGGCTATCTGGCCACGCCGTAGATAACCGAGATCGAAAGAATCGGGAAGAAATTCGTCGCGTGTGGCTACGGGCATTACGTTGCCTGGGGACGCGAGGAACGGGATAAGGAAATTTTATTAACGCTCGAAATGGTCTGACACCTCTGATTACGAGTAAAAGATCTATCGTCGTATTCCACAGGGATGTAGAATTCGTTTTTTTTTTTCTTTTATCGAGTATCGAACAAATCAGAATTCTCGAAGAAATTAATGCATTAGAGATTAACGTGAACCACTACTATGTAGCAAATTATTTATTAATTCCAATGACTTTCTGTTAAGGTAAATTTATACTACATGGCTACATTTTACGTTCATGAGGAAACAAGAAACATAGACGTAAAAGGAAAGACGGGTTTGTGTTGCTAAAGCAAAATTGACTATCATAGTGACTCGCGTTTTTAGACGTTTAGATTTTTAGCGACTAGGATTGTCGATGACTTTTGATAAAAAGACAAGCTATAAAATGATATACTCTTGAAAAACTCTTGGTATCTCGAATATAACGATCGTCGGAACACTTTGATTGCAACTGAAAGATAAGTATAAGCGAGTTAAAAGGGAAATCGCGAATCAGCAGTGACCTGAGTGTCACATAAAAGCCGCGGTTATGGTGGTGCTAATGGTTTTTCGTCGCACTTTTACACACTGTCAATCCATAACCGGCACTGCAAATTAAGAAAGTGTGTGCGATAAAATCGCATAAATTCGCTATCACTCGCCACATTTTTGCAAATCGAGATTACGTGTTAATTTCGCAAGAAAAGCTATCGAGAGGAATATCGATCTTAAATACTTCGGTGGCGGCTCGATCAAGGATCAATTTCCAAGAACCGGAAAATTAAATTTTCTTCCTTCTTCTTTCTCATCATACAAACATCGCGAGTGAAAAAAGATTAATACTAAGAAAGCTTAATACTGCGTATTAAGAGAAAAATTAATGACCTATCACGAGAATGACCATTGTGATCGAGAAAGGAGGTTCTCCAGCCTGAGGCTATCGAAAAAAGTAGTCGGCTGGTCCTTACATCTTGTCTCTCGCTTTACGTTCGCCCTTCACACTTTACGAAGCCGCCATGCCGCTTTTCTGCCTGCCCAATTTGTTTTTTTTCTTTTTGAGAAACGAGAGAAACCAAGAGCATCTTCGCGCTATTAACGTGAAAGCCAAACTTTTACTCTCCTTTTCGCTCATTAGCCCAAAAAATTATTTAGGTTTGAATATTTGAAGTAAAAAATGATTTTTATTTTTAATAAATAGAACTTAATTAAGAAGTACATTTGCTGCACATACGTACGGTTTCTTTCAACGACATAGTTAACGCGATAATCGGCAGCATAGGCGCAAAAAGTGGACTCATCATGTTTCTTCGTCCGTTGCTCCTCCGTTAATGGACGAGTCGCACGAAGAAAGATCGTTTCGCGCAATAGGGGTTGGTAAATATTCTTCTCCGCGCGCTGCCAGTCACGTTAAAATGCAATTCGAGCCTCTTTACGCGACACTTCGCTCGATATCGCGGCCATATCGAAACTAAAATTTATATAGTACGCTTACGATGTCGCGTGAGTTCGCAAACTGGGCGTTTTTAACGAGCCAACATAAAACCGATTTACGAGCTCTAATAAGTTTTAGCCTGAAAACGAAGTCGCTTTAAAGGGAGTAACGTCCCCATAACAATCACCTTACGCCTTTCCTATTTTGATCAAGCTGGATAAATTTATAAAATTTATATTTAAAAATCACGGGCGATCCGCATACATTGTCATACATTTTTTTCTGAATCCTGAAAAAATACCCAAGTATTCTGTCTTTGATAACTTATATGTAAATAATTTTTATAAGAGCGAGAGGAAGAGGAAGCTATTTTATGCGCGAAAGTAAAGTCTGACCTGCCAATTGTACCGAGGCTGCCCCTCTTCTTATCCGGCAGACAGTAGTCCGGACTCTTGGTGGTGTAGAGCAGATTGTCGTGATGATATAGGGGTGGCAATCTGCCACCGGATCTCGGCCTGACTTCGGCCGCGGTGGCGTATCTGCGTAGCAATCGACTTCCGGCGGCGGATGGTCCCGATGCACCGAGGCCGCGCCAGCAGGTACGCACACTGCAGGATCCCGATACCCCATGGCACTTGCACTCCAAAGTCAAGGATTGCTCGACCGCCTATCGTACGAAGCGTTAATCTTAGTTACGTCATATCTTTCAAAAATCAAAAGAACACCGCAATAGACAATAGAATCTTATTTCTTATATCTTCATTCAAACAAAATCTCGACTTGAAGTTATTGGTCTTAATTAATACAAATTACAATTAATTAACAAATTAAATATTAATTGACAAATTAAAAAAGCAATTAATAATAAAAATTAATTAACGAAGTTTTGAAGACTATGAAAAAAAAACTTTGTCAAACCCTTTCATTATCTAGTTTAACACCCTCTTACGCTCAATTACGGCACAAAATCCAAGCAAGCACTCACCCTCCGACCCGCCCTGTTATTGTGCATATTGACCGCGTGCATGAACTTGGAGGTCGCGCCGGTACCGGGCGGGGTGGCACCTTGAAGAAACCGCTTTGCCATCCTCGAAGCGGATCTTACGTCATCCCCGCAACCGCCCCACTTGAAGGAGTTCCTCGCGGACAGCGTGTCGAAAGAGACGGACATAGTGGTGAAGGACGAGGGCGAGATAAGCGCGGATGGGGAGGGTGGCTCTCTTCGCGGTGGAGTCGCGCAGGAACAGGCCGCCAAGCTTCCCAAAGCACACCCCCGCGCGAGTCGCCAAACCGCGGCGGCGGCTGACATCGCGTAGACGAAGGCTTGCTCTCTCGTTCCTACGATAAATTCGTACGTTAAATTAAAACGCGGAAACGCACGTGTAAAGTAACCAGTTTCTCTCGCAACTTAAATCAATATGCAAGATAGTAAAATCAAACATTAGCATTTCATTAGAATATTAAATATTCTCTATTAGAGAGGAAATAATTTACAAGAGAATCACAGCCAATTTCTCAGCAAGCAGGATCTTGATTACTAAATTTCCATATATCAAATAAATTCAAACAATTTTATCATCAATCACGTGCCATTTTATTTTAGCAGACTTACGTAACGGTTCTACAGCAATTCGATGATCAAATATCTTGATATCGATTAAAATTCCTTTTGTTTTTATCCTCCCCCCCTCCCCACGGAAAATATATATTACGAAAAATATCACCTTAACCAGAAATCAAATCTGGATCGCTTACTCTCAGAAAATAATTTATTTTTATATATTTTTATATATTTATTAATAGAAACAACTATTTTCACGTAATTTTATTAGTAATTTTTTTTAAACTTGATTCTCGTTAAATCGTCAAGTGCATTGTGATAGATACTAATTTATTAATAATAATTAATAATATATTAATAATATTAATAATTACATAATAATGATTATTAGTATAACTTTCAAATATACTTTCAAATTTCAATTTAATTTAATAATTACACCCGCATTATGTTTAATGTATTGTGACAATGTTAAATTAGATCTTGTCGTGGCGTCCCTGAATTAAAGACCGCACAGTCTTTTTTTCCTTCGTCGATTGAGATGATTGAGGAAAAGCCGATTATCGTACTCTCGAGAGCGGAAAATACAACGGCGAGCGTTACGTTCGTGGTCGTGATGTATCTCTCATTGGCGCTTCTCGGTTTTCTCATTAACGGAGGATATCTCGATCTCTCGGGCGCACTTTTATTTACAATATAATCATCGTGAAACGCGAGCGATTAATCCAACGGAGGCTGGTCGCAAAGCGAGAGGATGAAAACCATGGGGAGCTACGGTTTGTTAATGATCGCTAATTGAGATGCGCCTGCCAGGTCTCCCTATTTACGTCGGAATTCCTCAAAGGATATTCAATACGTTTCACATCGAAACCTTTATCGATCTTAGCGTCCCTCCGTCGAGAAAAATCACCGATTATAAATCTATTACGAGCAAAGTCAACCGGCATCGTATTTTCTTATTTAATAAATTAAATTTTCGATTTTGTGTTAATTTTAAAATTGCACATCCTTACAAGAATCTTCTCTTATCTTTACAAAGAAAAAAAGTTTTACAATATTTTTATCTTATCCCTTTTTTTATCGACTTTCTTCACATGGTACATTTAATATTCCTCATAAAATAAATTTTCTAAAGGAATTATACAATTTTACACTATTTTCAATTTTATCGACACAGTTGAAAAATTTGAAATATATGTAATTTTGCAAACAAACCTGTAAGCAATTCAGGAGTATAGTCGGGTGCGCGCTCGATGCTGCTACAATTCCACCTGCGATGTCGAAACGCCTGTTGGCACACCGTCGACGTGTCTTTGGCGGCTTGCACTAAACCAGGCATCACATCCGGTGTCGCTCTGCAAGCCCTCGCCTGTTTCCTCTCCAGCAGGCCCGCACTCTTCGCGCTGGTGCATGCCTCTCTGGTCCATGTATGCGTGTCGCCGGTGCGACCAAGACCACTAAACAACGTTCTCCATTTAAATACACATGTTTTCATTAAAAAAAAAGATGGTTATCGGTTGCTAAAGATTTTTATGATGACTTCGTCATTAGAAAAATTAAAAGTTAAAGACAAATTAAACATTTTTGATGCTACGTGCGTCGATAAATTTATTATTAAAAAATTAAAATTGCAGTTAAAATTAAAAGCAGTCTTAGATATATATATGTGGCACAAGTAAGAAAATTTATTTTTCTTAATGGATTAGAGATTGTATGTTGTGCATTTGAAAATTTGACAGTAAATGATCTCATAACGAGATAAAAGCTTTTTGAAACAAAGGGTCTTGCTTCTCCCTTCCCTTTAACACTCCGGCATATGCGAGTGTGGAATTTGGGGTGGAACATTCGGTATGGTACAACTCTGTCGGACGATCGGCCGAAGGGCCGACAGTCATGAGCGATCCACCTCTTCTGGTCCCGGCGCAGCCCGCGCCGGGCCGTAAATCAGGGGGGTGAATTTCGAAAATTATAGGGCGCGAGGCTGAAAAGGGCTCGCATTTAAGTGCCGCGGGTTGAATACAGCGCGGCTAAACTCGACTCGCAACGCGCGAGAGAGCGGCAGGTCGGGGATAATAATTACGGACACCTGAAAGTCGAAATGACCCGTGCACGCGGCCCCGCCGCGTCTAGACGTAACAACCCTGGGAATGGCCGGATCGCCAACCCCGTGTCAGGGAGCCTACCCTCGGAATTACCCTATCAAAAGCCCGCGGTTCTCTAATTCGTTATTGCCATCGCTGTCGCAGCGAGCTCCCGTCCGTTCCCTCCCGATGACATTTCGGGACTCGCGTTACGACTCGACCCGGGAATCTAATTTCCGTGTAAACGCTCGCGAGCGTGCACTCATGTTGCCTTACGACCCATTGTGAAATCGCGATGCCTTGCGCAAGACCCGCAGCGTCCTGCTGGCTAGATCTTATCGACAGGCCTATCTTTCTCTCTTCGTTGCATAAATCACCTCAACTCTGCATTTTGATATTCTCACGCGGGCTGTAATTATAAATAACATAAATGTAATATAATTATAAACATAATAAATATTATAAAATATTACAAATATAATTATAAATAATATTTAATAGAGCTCTTTTTTTGAAAAAAATAATATCTTCGCATCAGCGCGGTATTTAAGAACGTCGAAATAATATACAATATTTTGCTGAACAAAAAAAAAAGATAAAACAGTACAAGTGTGGCAATAAAAGATCTTTTTATGAGGATAACATTCATGCTCTTTGTATGCACGATTCATTAAAGCCGCACGCATGAGAAGCGCGAAGCTGCGCGAGTTCTCAAGCTTCGCTCGCGAATCTTTGTTCACGTTCGCAAAAAGGAGAAAGTGGAAACGTTGCCCCAACGATCTAGAAATTTTCACGACGCTCGTATCTTTACGAGCCATAAATATCCAGTTTAAATTATCAACTCATTAAGGCGCGATGATTACTTCGGCAATCCGGTATCGACTAACGAGGAACCTCAGCCCGCGTATAATTCGCTGACAAAATAATAAATGCAGCGTGCCGTTTGTACTGTGATACTCGATTATCGGCTTGATAAATCTTAATTGATCGTCCGAATGCAAAATAGGAATTAAATCAAATCGGCTTAAACAAATTCGGCCACCAACGTGGATGAGCCTAACTTTAATTTTTCCATGGCAATTCGCGCCAGAAGAGCCATAGTGAAAGGCAAAGTATTTATCTTCAGCGTCATATCTTTGTCAAGTAAATAAATATATAGGCTGAGAGCAGATTTTGCTTTCACTGTATTAGTTAAGCAATAATTTTAATAGGAATCTAATAATAATTGACGGGTTGAGAGATAACATTTTACTTGTCGAAAATTAGAAAGCGTAACTGAAGCGTTTTCGTCGCTAGATCTCAATTATAATTTTAGACACGCTTCAGGCAGTATATACTTTAACAAATAGTAAAGGGTAGAGTTTGTGAATTCCGTTAAGAAATTATAGGTCAAGCTTCTGTAAAATATTTAAGACAACTTTTCGCTCTCAATTATCACACTCTTGAGCTATCCTTTCTGCGGGCAATTTCAATCTACCTTAACAAGCACTCGGAAAGACGGTTAAACGCGAGGTATAGCATTTAATGAGCAATCAGTACGTATGACAGCCATTTGCCTCCAGATAGGCAGGATTCAGCAGAATGCATGACAGGCCACTTATGTAGCTAGATACGATTTTAAGCTGCGTTATGCATATTGCTCAGCCCGCAGCTTCGCGCGCGAAGTAATTTACGAGCCGCTCTCTCAAGACGAATGCGCGACTATTTGCTATCGCACGTCAGATAATTAATTATCAGCGGCAGTGCGTAGAGCGTCAGGCTAATCACGATGCTCGAAGCGATATCCTGCAGTTTACTTTTAATCAATTCCTAAGATAGCACCGTCGTCCGTTGGCAAACGTTAGAGATATTAATAAAATTTTGTTCACAAGAGAGCTAGAAAAAAGAAGAAACGTGCGCGATGCGTTTTATTGCAGAATTTGTCGGCCGATATAGGATAAAATTGCGCGACGTTAGATTGGTCGTTTGACTGATTAAGTAAGATGATAATAATGCGCGATAAGCACCGAGTAAGACATGAATAATTCATCCGAGATAGATGTCTTCGAGTAATAAAGTGAAGCTCGTTACAAAGATCTATCCAGATCTCATAGGAATGTAAAATGCGATGGCAGTGGGAGTGAGCAAAATAATTTATGAAGTGCCCCGCTACTTGGTAATTGCCCATTGTAACGGAGCTAATAATTTAAGAAATGTAATACGGACGAATTACGATTCGCTCACTCCTCGCCACTTCGCGATTATCTCGATTAGAATTATTGCTTAACTATGACATTGTTCAATAACTATTTTTGTTATGGGTAGCGCCTACATTTTCTTCTTATTGTTCAGCATTACTGTCACTCTGCAAAAGTCCGATTACCAATGAGGACAGCTCGTCGAGGTTGCACTCTTTATCTTCACATAAAATATCTCAAAATCGTTTTATGGTGTTTTGTTCTTTTTTGCAAGAAAGTGATTTGATTATATTATGAAAAAATACTTATTTTTCAACTATTTTGATCGGAGCATATCTTCCCGTTTTGCGAAATAATTTCTTTAGTATAAATTCCTATGCGCGTTGTCCTTATGACGTAAAGTAAGCAAAATATGAGATGATTTCCCATTTGGATCTTCTATTTTTAGACAGAAAATACCGTTCAACAAAGTAATAATGTTTTTTTTTACCGTCTTACAATTTGCATGGTTCTCCGCACGTTGATTCTCTCGTTTTACATGTTTCTATAAGGATCGTGACTCCCGTGACAGAAGGACGTTCATGGGCTGGCATTCTTATGAAAATGTATGGTGGTTTCTTGAAAAAAAAAAAAAGAGAAAAAAATCACGCGTGTTTCGAGGCGGTCCGTCGACCGGCCGTACTTTCGAAATTCGTTTTGACTGGTGGAATCGTAAAGCGCAGTCTTTACGAGACCGATAATGGGCGGGCGCCTACGAATCTTTGCCGTTTGGAAGAGGCTGAAAGAGGAAGAGAAACTGTTCAGAAGCGTATTCGAGATGATGGGAAAGGAAGTGAAATCGGCCACCCTGAACCCACACTCGAAACGTTCGAATACGACAGATCCAATATGTAGACATTGACAATTTACTATACCGACTTTTATCGTGCCATACTGTTTACAAAGAAAATCCGAGAATGTTGGCATTTCATTGGCTGTATCTCAATCGAAAGACGAAAGACACGTCTCGATTTTGCCCAATTTTTATTTTGATGCTCGTTATAATTATTTATTTATTTTTTTTAATTTTTCACAAATCATTTTTCACAAATCACCGACCAATCGCGCTTCATCGATTAAGCCGGCCTGTTCCGCAATTAGCCTCAATTTGTTGGTAATGTCTCTGACGTCGGCGTGCCGAGTGACAAATTAACGAGACGTGCGGCTGAGATCTCGTCGCGTGGGACGCAAGTTCCATCGTTGCGCCGATACGATCCACTCTACGTTGCTCTAACTCGGCGTCTCGCATTAAGAATGCGTGATTTACGAGCGATGCATTGTTGAGATCCGCCAAGAATGATCTTATAAATAGCGACTCGCGTGTGATTCAACGCGACCCTGCGGGCGCTCGTCGAGGGCTACGCGTAAATTATTATAAATCGATCCTTGGCCTCGATCCTGGCGAAGAAATCCTCGATCGTGATCCCGCTGAAAGAGCCGCGGATTGCTCCGCGAGAGAATGTTATTCGTGACGTCATCTCGAAGCCACGAGCAACAATCTTCGATCCTTCGGATGATGATTAATGGATTCAAGACGCGAATACATCGCAATTTTGCTTTTTTTTTTGCTTTTCTTTTAATCACGAGAAGATTAGAGAATCGTATCGGAAATACCGCGTGTTTTGAGAGAACGAGAGTGTAGTACAAAATGAAAAATTCTTTGAGACTTTATTCGTTCAAACCCCCTTAGTTTCTAAGCAGAAAAGCTATCGGTGTCCCCGTTTTCAAGATACGCATCATTCCTCTTCGTTTAAACTCTATCGTTTCCGGATAAAAAGTCAAGTCCTTAATGCAGAAGAATCGTCACCTTCGCCGGACGCTAAGACAACGGGATCGATGGTCGCAAATTTCACAAAGGAAAAGCAGTGAAAAGGAGATTTCAGATCACCCTTCAAAATTATCCGTCAACGTCGGCTGCAATAATTATAAACAAGAGAATCGCGAGGAGACCTCGTTCTCCTGGGGGTGAGTCTTCTTGGAAAGCGTCGTTTATAAATCACGAGTCTCCGTGGGCAACCCCTAATCTTCTACCCCCGGCCATCCTCGTGCCACTCCCCGATCATCTTCCTTTCGTATTGCCCCGCCATCCCTTAGCGTCGTATTCCCTCGTATTTTGGTTTTGCACGCAAAACCACCATCACTCCACCATTCATCATCCAACGCCGCTCAACCTTCTCTCTGTTTCCGCTTTTCCCACTCCCACCCCCTCTCGTCGGGGTGGTCCTCACCTCGCGCCCTCCTTCACGCCGATGCGATGAAACTCGCCGTGAATCGCACGACAATTTAACGCATACCCAGAGGCCGAGGAACTCCTCGGGGAAGAGGGTTAACCGGTCCCACGGCCTTAAACGTTAACGAGAAGTCTTTCGTAGCTCTAGATGAGAAGAATGATTCTTAATGCGGGGATGATTGATGAGAAATCGCAGAGTGATGAAAAACAAGTTGCGAAGCAATCTTGAAGAAGAATGAAGAAATAAAAAAAAAGACAAATAACGATATTTTGTAACAACATAAATCGTGATAAGTCTTTCACTATTTTAATATTTATTTCATACATTTTATGCAATCATTTTATTTAAAATCAATGACAATTAAATCTAGAGACGAATTTTCAATTAAAATTTCCCGAAGTCTAAAGTGAATCGACATTCAGATATTTTCATCGTAGAAAAAGACTGGTTGATGAATTCATTTCTGCTTTAGGAAAGCAAGAAATTCATAAAAAAAAAGCTGATATATATTTTTGCTGCTGATAATTAAAAAGGCCGGCTGCTCTGAAAAATAAGAAGCACTGCAATAAATTGGCCGCGAGAGGCGAGGTATCTCTAAAACCGGCGCTGTAGTAATCATCCGCTTTTCATTTGCGAAACGTATTGGCCGGGATAACGAACGATGAGGCATCGCCGTCTATTAATGCAGTCCATAAAGCAGCACCAGCGATATCTTTATTCCTTCGGAGTATGAAATTTATGTCGACCGCGAATCGTTCCTAAATCTCGCCGTGGTCCGATCTCCTCGAGATCAAAGGAAAATAATGATCGAGATCGAGAATCGGGAGGCTATCGTCTTCACCTCGCACGCGCTCCCGAACGTTTCCCTCGGCCACTAATCTATTTGTTTCTCATTAACGGACCAACATTAATCTTCGAACTCGTTTGGAACCACCACGAGCGAATGTGAGAGCACAAATAGGACTCGTCATCACGAGGGTTCGAAGGAGGATCTCTCGTATGTCTCTATGTCTGGTTCAACGATTGAAGGCAGTCTACAAACAACTGTATATTTTTCGCAATCTATAATCACGTAAATCTATTTACTTCCTCGATTTTTTATAATTTTCTTATATAAAAATATCGTAAATATTTTTAGATTCTTTTAACGTTAATTTTTTCAACTAGCGTCATTTAGATTCTCATTCCAAAACTCAAAAATTTTTTATCACACCTACTTTTTATTTATTACAATGTTATTTCTTTTGTTATAATAAATAAGTTTTGAATATATATAATCTATAACTTATTTATCTAATATAAAAAATTAAATTATATACATTAGATTATATATATTCAAAATCTTTATTTTATTATAACAAAAGAAATAACATTGTAATAAATAAAAATGGTGTAATGAAAATTTTGAATTTGGAAAATGAGAATTTAATGGTGCTGGTTGAAAAAGATTAACTATAGATTATTTATTTACAAAATAAAATAAGTTTTTTCCGTTTCAATCATGTTAATCCGATTGACATTTCGGAGTTTATGAATGTCAAGACGCGTGGCATGCAGATAGATTCTATCGTGAAGATTTATTGTACGAAGAATAATATGAGAGAATGCAAGACGAAAAATTGATCGAGTAATATTTATAAAAATAAACTGGAATACTTACAGCCATTTTATACATCTGCCATCTTGGACCAGCAGCAATATGAACAGTAGAAACCAAAGCTTGGCACCGCTTCGCTTCTTTAACCGCATCTTTCTTCGTTTCGCATTCTAACAGGTTGACATCGTCGCTCTTCGTTCCGGGAATATTATGATTTTGTATGCGCACTTTTTTAAATAGCGCTCATCATCCCTCGATGCAACGCGACTCGCTTTGCGAAGATGATTCGAGATGTCTTCATCGCAAGTCACGGGTGCTATCGGAAAGTCGCGATACTTTCCCTTTTTCGTAAAGGTATTTTCGGAAAAGGCGAAGATTTAAACCGCCTTTAACCGCATTTTAAGAAAATTCTCTTTATCTCCTCGGTAATACATCCACTTCAAAATCGTCGATTCTCTATCGACGTCGTTACATATTTAGTATTCGTATTCGATTACCAGCCTCATCAGTTTTTCCGAAATAGTTTCGCGACAAAAATGGATTCGGTTTTGAATCGGTTAATTAAAGCAAACGATATTTCGGGGAACAATGACGTTTTTTAAAAATCCCCCTCGGATACAAGACATCCCTACGAATCGCGCGGTGCGCGCCAATGACGATTCACGAGAACGAGAGAAAAAAACCGCACGTGGAAACACGCGTGTGAGAGACACCAGGCACCACTCCCGTTAAGATCGGCGGAAAACAGTGCGTCTCGGGATCCTTCAGGATCTGCGGCGATTTCGGAGAACTTTCCCATACACCGTGCGTCCGGCTCGGCGGGGAGTCTGCGTGCTTACAGGTGTCCGTCGGAGCAGTCCTGCAGGATTTGCCAGTCGGTGGTGGTGGTGGAGGTCCTCCTACTACTTCACTTCCTCCTACTTCGCCTCCTACTTGAGCCTCCTCTTTCCTCGATGTACGAGGAGTCCAATGATCGACACCGGGGATGCCGGTCGCCGCCGAATAAGAAGAAGAACGATCGCCCCCGCCGTTAACCCTCTCGTTTCCACAGAGAGTCGGAGATATCTCTTTCTTTGTTGTAATATACGAACAAGCAGGATTTCCCTTGAATTCCGTGAATTTTACTTTTATACGCTGATTCTTGTGAAAGTGTAGATTTGACATAAAGAGTTTTCTCGGATGTTGATGATAACAATGAAAAGATTAAATTTAAAATTTAGAAATGGGAGAATAAATAACGAAGCATTTTCTTTATTCAGGTTTAATTAGAAGTAAATTTATAATTCTCAAGAATTAATCGTATAAATATTACTGAGAAAAGTGAGGGTCAGTCAAAGATAAATTAATTTCATATCTTTGTTGACCAAAAAATTGCATCTATAGAAGGAAGATATATAAATTACGAAGAAAGTAAAGTTTTTATCAGCGTTTAATTTTTTTTTATTAGCTTTTAACTCAAAACGTTATTCATGAAAAATTTTATGTAATCCTCTCAACGTGAACCAAAGAGATTTAAATTGTTCGCCGACGCAAATTATGAGTATTCCTCAGTCACTAATTAATTCTGTCGACGCACTATGCTTTCCTAGCGTTCGGTTTTACCGAAAATTATACACTTCGCGTAACGAATAATATCCTAAAAAAGAAAGATGAACGGAAATCAAGACCATCTTCGTGGGATTGACTTTAACGAGCAGGCGGTATCTTTGTGATCATTTATTTTACTATAAGGCGGAGTCAAAACAATTTATCCCTGCCATTTAAAGATTGGTAAGCAGTTGGTGCTATCTCGCTCAGATTCGTTGATCAAACTTGAATAAATATCGAACGCCCCGTATAGAAAAAAATCGTCGTATTAAATCTATCTATATGCTTTTTGATTAAATTTGATTAACGTAATCTTATTTATAAATACATCTTTCAGATCAAATTTTTTCAGCATATTTTATTTAAAAAAACTACATCATTTATATTAAAATTAAATAATTTTTTAATGTTAATTTTAATTTTAATGTTATTTTAAGATTTATTTTCTTTTACCTACATTAAATGTAAGTGCATTTTAAAATTACTTTTAAGAGATAATTATATATATGTCTTTGATAAATAAATCTTTTTTATTTTATCATAAAGTTTATAGATAAATTAATAATTTTATATAATTCAATTTCGTATAATATTTTATAACATTTCTCGCATACATTTTTTTTTTCTACGTTTTAATACGTACATATATTATGTCAGGTAAATCAACGGCACAATTAGCGCAAGCAAATTTTCATCAAGGTATTGTGCGCTTCAATTGGAAGAAGCCGCGAGCCCCTCGGCCCCTCGCTAATTACCGTGCCAATTTTGTCCACGGTGCCGATCGTTCGTCTTCCTTCTCGTTCTCCTTCGATGCCTCGTTTGGCCCTTCCGTTGCCCCGTTGTCGTCAATAAATAATCCTCCGTCAGACGTTCATTACGTCGTTAAGTTTCGGCTTGGACTTATATCCACCCTCCGTCCCGCACGCGGAACCCAACGGGCGGATTCGCCCGCAGCGGTAACCCTGGAAATACGCATGCCGCGTAAAAAAGCATGCCAATCGCGAATGCGCCAATCAATAAAGGATATCGACATTAGTGCGATTAAAGAGCGATGACTTTGCCCTTAATGGAAAATTGTTTGGCCTTCGATAAACAGAAACAATAGAAATATTTAAGAATTCTTATTTGAGATGATCGAGAAAGTGAAAGCAATAAGAAGTTGCAATGCGTCAAGATAAATTTTATAAAAAATTCTAAATAATAATAATAAATAAAAAATAAATAAATAATAATAAAGAGCAATTTTATTTAGATGACAAATATATGTATATGACAAATATATATACGACGAATATTTTTTATTTAGAGATTAACTCGGATTTCAAGAATTCAAGAATGTGTATGTGGTTTTGTAAGATTGTGAGATAATTACAAATCTCGTAACAGTTAATAATTACACGAGTGAAATATACTGCACGGTTTTCTTTTATTTTTACACAATTAATATTACCAATTCGGTATAGATGTTGCGATGCAAAGGTATGCATTGGTCTAACTGTAAAATCAGACAGCGGATGCCAACACTGAGGATAGATGAAAAAATTATGACAGGCGTTAATGCACTTTCGCGAGCCATAAAAATGCGTAGCGAGCGAATGCATCGAGCAATTACCAGCAATTGCAAAAGTATTCCGAGAAACGGCGTATTCCTCGCCGCGGGCAATTCTCGCGAATATACGCGTGCAATAACTACGGAACAAAAGAAATACCTCTGTTTGTACCACTTGGTTTACGGAATGAATGGCACATTAACTTATATATTTGCGGCTTGCGCAATGCGTTTACACCTCATTAATTTAAGAACCGTGGACGAATGAGTGCAAACGCGAGCGGCCGGATCTGTGAGAATTTCTCGCTATTTCACTGTGTTATACGCGCCATAAAGTTCGTTATTTCTCGTTATTTATCGTTATTAACGTCTAATTATCCTCTCGCAATCCCCGATAAACTCTCTTCATTTTTCTTGATGCACCTCATCCACCGCGGGCGAAGCCGCCTCGCTTATGAAAAAGAATACTTACCCCGTTCGTGGAAAATAAATTAACGAGGACCACACGCATCCGTCTCGTTTTTCCGACTTTTGCGCTTTTTCCAGATTTTTAATATTTAAGGAAGGTAAAGAGAATAAAAATGTCAGACATGCGCGCTCAGGCCGGCGTGTAATGAGCTAATAAGGATGAGGGATCGTGATGAGGCGGCGGAACCAAAAATAAAACGGGTTAAAGACACTACTTTATTAACAGGAAAGTTGGTAAGGGAAAAAGAGCGGCTTCTTCGTCTCAGATTATTTCCCGGCATTATTCGCCGAAGAAGACATTGGCCATAAAAAAGGGACAAGCAGATCCCGGCGACAGCTGCCTCGCTATTAAAAGCGACTTAAACTCCAAACCCTTCCCGCGAGATCGCAGAGAACGCGAAGGTATCCCTTCCCCCTACCCTCTCATTCAGCCACTCACTCTCTATTTCTCATCCCTTTCGCTTCTTCTTGTTTCTCTTGTTCCGCTCCTCGTCATCGCTCTTCGCATGATTACGTACGAGCAAAGCGTGTACATACGCGTCCGCGACTTCTTGCCTGCAAAATAAGCGAAAATGCTAAATGAGCCGTAAAGCCGAGCCTTAGGGTATGAAGGAAGGGGCGAAGGAAGGAATCCCGCTCCTAGATTAGAATTTAGAGTCGAGCATCCTCTGTCTTCTCGATCCGAAAGCACCACGATGAGAGCCCATGAGGCAATAAAGAACGTTCAGGAAGAATGGCCGTTCGAAATATTAAAGAGCGGGATGAGAAATGGACCGCGAGTGTGAAGGGACGCGCGCGGGACGGCTATGAAATTATTGCCTCCCTCCTTTGTGTCTCGTAATAACTTTCGCAACTCTGTGATATTAATTAAGAAACGCGTTCTTTCGTTTCTTTATTGTAAACCGTTCGACGAAGGCTTGATTTAGGAGAAAAGCGAAATCGAGAGAATCGGTTTGCTATCTAAGTTTTACAACTACTTTTATACAATTTTTATTTTTTTTTATATATAAAATAATTAATTTATCTACAATAAAACGTGTAAATGTAATTGTTCCGTGTAAATAACTGATGAATACGTAAAAACGTAAGAAGTTCATGGCACTTTGTGCGTTCACGTTCACCGACAAAATGGACGTCGCGAAAGTTTAGAACTGTCTATTTGCATGGACACGATTAATTAATACAATACCGGTAATTAAATAGATATCAACCTTCTCCGCGCACGACGGCAGCATCCAATCTGCATAATCTCTATACAATAACGTCAGTGAAAAGAAGAGTTTTGTCCCTCCGACGATAAACTTTTTGCTACCCTTCTTCAACGGTCAACACCCGCTACCCCGCTAATAAAGATATATAGGGTGATTCGAAAACTAGCGAAACGGAATGTTATAGATGCATTTTTTATTATAATTCTTATCTGGAACAATAATTAAACAAATAAAAATATTAAGTAAGAACAAAGATAAATTTTTTTAATAAAAATACATAACAAAAGAAAAGCTTTATTTAAATGATCCCATTTCAATGGACTTTATTTTGATAGAACTTTCATTAAAAATTTAATCATCAGAACGATAATTAAATATTGTCATAAATTATAAATTCCTTAATTCAAATATTACAATTTAAAAACTTCAAACAATTAATAAAATTATTAATAATTTTTACGAAAAATATAATATATAATATTTAAATTTGTTTTGTTATATTTAAATATGTTTCAAAACACTTCTGGAATAACAATACAATTATAATTTTCTCCAATTTAAATCTTCTTAATTAATACAAAACTATAAATCTATTAATATATGTATATATGTATATATATATGTATAATATTTTCTCCAAATTTTAAATTCTTTCTTTCTTTCAATGAATGAGCGAAAAAAGAACAAATCTCAAATCGTATATGAATGAAGGCGAAAAAAACAAAGAGCTCTTCGCTTAACGTGCTCACGATTAAAAATATGACAAATATATTACTCGATATCAAGATCTATTGAAACGCATCAACGTCTCAAAACTGGTTTCCTCGGCAGAAACGCGAATACGGATCCAAGACGAGATCGAAGTGTAGTCATAAGGTCGCTACGACGTAACTCCGTTCTTGAAGTGCATTTCACTGATCGGTTCATAGTCGTCCGGCAGCCAGGGCAGCCAAGTATTGTTAAACCGGCACGGAAAGCCAGCCGGATCGATGGGTGCATGAGGCTGCTTCACGAGGACCGATTTATAGCTGTCGATGAACACGCTCAATCTCTCCACGACCTGCAAATGTAACGACGTCTTCTTAAGGCAGCATTCCTCATTTCCATCTCGTCTGTGCCAGATGGAATGGCGTTTACATAATTATTTACACGAACGAATCATTTTATCGTAGTGAAGAGCATCGATATTGTATATGCGCATTATGCCTTTTTTATCATTCAAAAATATTATTAATTAGTTCAGAACAGTTTAGAACAGAAATTAGAATTTTAATTAGAAATTATTTTTATTAAACATCTACTGTATAAAATATCATTTCTTACATAACTTTATCTATTCTTACTTAAAATTATTAAATATATGTTTAAATATATGTTTAAAATATATATTTCAATCTCACCTCAGGATGTTGCAAAGATAAGTCCGTGATTTCGCAAGGGTCTTCATAGATATTGAACAAACAAGTGCGATTCTCGCAACTGGAGGAATTCGTAAAATTCTTGCAAATTATTGTAGCCTCTTCCCGGAGCTTTTTTATTTTATTCGCAGTTAACATATGAGTCGAAACGCCTGCGATAGCCGACCCGGCTGGCGACGCTAATACATCTGTCACATTGTATTTGGGATATGACGCATCGTTACCACTATAATAATTATAATGTTTCTGATAATCGGATTTATCTGTATCAAAGGAAAAAGTTTTTATGTATATTATTTTTAGCTACGATTCACTCGTACATTTATTTATAAATTCTCAAGGCAAGATCAAAAGAAGCGAGAGAATTTAAAGTTACATTAGTAATAAATAATAAATAAATGTTCAAAATAGAATTAATAAAATTAATAATTAAAATTGATAAAATTATAATAACAATAAGCATTAAAATAAGTTCCTGATATGTACCTCTAACAAGTTTATAATCGTCCACTAGCGCCGCCTCACTGTTCTCATCCTCCCGAATATTCACGAGAACCGATCTCCTCTCGCTAATATTCATGCTCTTAATCACGGACCATTGATCAATGCCGTCCAATTGTTTCAGATCGTTCGGATTACCGCCGGCCGCGGAGTATAGTGTCGGCAGCCAATCGCTAATATGAAATAATTGCGTCGAGACCCTCGACGGATGATCAATCAAGGGTGAGTAGATGCACGCCGCGCCCCGAATCGCGCCTTCAAAGAGGGTGAATTTCAACTGCAAATAAATTGTTTCTATTTTAGGTACAATTTTAAACAATTATTTCACTGAATGATATTAATCTATATTATTTTCGCGACGTTAAACGTTGTAGTTTCGATTTCTTTGTGTAAAGTTACATTTACCCCTCGTAATGGATAATTAGATCCGAAATTTTTCCACTTCCCTTCAGTCTGCGCTCCGTTGTCAGCCATGAAAAGAATAATCGTATTCCTCAGCATATTCGCTCTCTTCAGAGATTCGACCACTCGACCGACTGACTTATCCAATGTGCTAAGGACACCTAAAAAAAAAAAAATACAATAACAAATAAAAGATAAAATCGAATATTAAAAATGTGCATTGCAAATAAACATTCTTATTAACGAAGCGAAAATAAAGCAAGGTATGTGAGAAGATAGCAAACATTAGCAATGAAGTAGTGTTTTATTGATTAGCCTAAGATACAAACATAATATTATATATAGAGTGCTTCATGAAAAAACCGACAAATTTATACAATTTCTAAAAAATATTTTAAACAAAATAGTTCAGACATACTCTAGATCATTTTAACTCAATTATTGAGATGTAGATAATTTTCTTAATAACGGTCGAAAAATATTTACATCTTTAATTAAGTAAATATATAATTATATGATCATACTCGCGTATTTTCTTCTGTTTATGTCTTTGATGTAGCCGAAAGTGGCGTTAGTTTCTTGCCAATCGCGTACTTCCATGATTTCTTCAGCAGTGCTAGAATGAGGGGCGAGATGCGCCACTTGCAAAAACATAGGCTTCGCGGTATCATGCGATGAGATAATTTTTTCGGCCTCCTCAGTTATAATATCAGTCATGTAATCGTATCTATATTCAATAGTGTAATTATTGCTCACGGAACGATGCAAATCATAACCCACTCGATCCTGTAAAATATAATATTATAATCTGTGTGTGTTGTGTATGTGTATGTGTGTGTGTGTGTGTGTGTGTGTGTGTGTGTGTGTGTGTTTTGTGTATGTGTGCGCGCGTGTATTATTTAACAAATGTATAATGTACAATCTATTTGTAACGATCTATCTATCTACTAACGGGAAGAAATCTCACATAATGGATCGATTAAATCTCTGCTATCCGTTACGTGAAATCTTTTTAATAATCTCTTAGACAAGAGAGAGATCTCTTACTCTTAAATATTTTTATTAATGAATTAAAAACTAATTATTTATCTTGGATATACTTGAATTGCTATTATTAAATGCTTAAAGATTTAATTACATAGTTCTTGAATTTCTGTAGTAATAAATATACTTCAATATTTCGAATATTTTTATATATGATCATATTAACATTTAATAGAATTAAAATTCTGACATACACTTTTGTCAATAATATTAATAAAAATTTACACCAAAATATCACTGAAATCTATTATTGTCAATATCTATTATTATATTATATATCATTTTTCTAATAATCTCCTAATGCTTTAAATTTTTCTAATAGATATATGTTAATATTTTTATTATATTTTTTTGTGTAATAATTTTGTCTAATGATAATTAATTAATTAATAATAAAACACGATTCTGAAAAACTTACTTCTTCTTGAAGTGTATGGTTGAAATATTGAATAATACCGGTATAATATCCCAAGAAAGTATCGAAACCACGGCGGGTAGGTCCATAACTTGTCGAATGATAACCAACATGCCATTTTCCTACGAGATGAGTGGTATATCCGAGTTTCCGAAGATATTCAGGTAGAAGAGTATGGCTCAAGGGTATACCACGTGGTTCAGCTCCTTTTAAGGGATTGCCCTGCATACCTTGCAGTTAATTCACTAATTTTAATTTTAGTTCTTTCTCTCCAAAGTGATTTTAAATTATATTATTCTTGGAAATCATGATTTTAGAATTAATAAAAATATAAATAATATAAAAGAGACATAAATAAAAAATTGTGAAAAGGGTGAAGTCTTCCAAAAAAATCACATTCACTTTCAATCTAAACGTTTCTAGCAATTTCAAAGTGAAATTAAAATTTTGTTGAGATAAGGTAATAGTAAGTCAATATCTTTAGACAAGCAAAGTAAGATATTTAATAAGATCGCAATAAAATGCAGGGAAGTAGCGCAGGATATTGTTGTACATCATTTATCTGCGGTAATTAATGGATTACCTGTCCTTATGGGATATTTCCCGGTGAGGAAAGCTGTCCTCGATGGTGTGCACACCGGCTGCACATAATGTCGATTCAATATCACGCCGTTGTATGCGAGAGCGTCTATGTTCGGCGTGGGAATTTCGTCGGCACCGTGGAAGCTAACGTCATTCCATCCCTTAGTTATCAAAACACATATTAAAAAACGTCTCATAATTTCGATAAGTCGCATTACATATATTTATACGCACACATTAAACTAATTTACCTTAATAATTTTACTTTCACTTTGATAATGACCGATACGTTTTTCTTAACTGACTGATTATTACTCAGTTAAAAAATGTAAAAAAAACTTTGAAAACATTCCAATGTAACAACCGGTTTGTCACTTTTTCAAATATGAATATAATGTTGTTCAACTTTACTTAGCTAGTTTTGTATTACTTCTGTCTTATTTAACACAAATTCCAATTATTAAGAAAAGTTGCAAAAATAAAAGTTATACGATTTGAATAAAAAATGTTTACTATTGCCGCAATCATCTCAGTTTATTCAAACTGAAATTTAAGTTTATGATTTTATTTTATTTTTTTTTACTTGTCAATTAATTTTGCGACAATTGCAATACAAAGAAATTGAATTGAATTATTTACAAAAAAATAAAATAAAAATATTCAAGAAAAAAATTCTATGTTACTTATAGATTGTGATTTATTATTTAAATGTTATTTTAATCGTATTTTGTATAATATATGACAGAGAAAATTAGAATTAGAAAGATAGATAAGAATTTATCTTATATCTAAAAAAAAGAAAGATCTCTAAAAGAATAAATCAATAATTTCTTACAAGATCATCAGCAATAATAACGACGATATTGGGTGGCTGCTGGGAAGCACAAGCCAAACCAGGATAGAGACACAGAACACTCAAGATAATTTGTATGAAGATAAATGATATGTTATGCAGACTCATAATTTTCACTAATTCTTCTGCCAATTCAATGAAAATCGCCGAAATTATATCAACTTCACGATAGTATCGTAATTAGATTAGATCGCAAGATATTGATGTAATCGATTTTTAAACGTCATAATTTAACGCGCTGATGATTATAAGGTAAAATGTTGAATATAATATTGATATTTTAATTTACTTTTTTAAATAATTACAAAAAAGATTCTTTAAGAGCGATGTAATTTTTGTCTTATTGCTTACAATAATTATTCTTTTTCTGACTTTACACGATAGTGTTTGAAATGACAGTGCTTAACAGCCGGTCGTTTACGTTTGCATTGAGTTCAATACTGTTAAGTGCGAGATACGTATTATCACATTTATAGGCTGAGCATTCAGAGCATTCGTATCATTAAGATGACCTCGTTATCGTAACTGAACATATATAAAGTGATTTGACTGTTTATCTTTTTATTAGATAGTTAGATGAAATATTATTAAGAAGAAACATCATTGTCTTCAAACGTTAGCAATTACGTATTAAACAATTACGTTTATCATAGGTTTTTAGGTAGTATGTAAAATTGTATACATGTTTAGTTTGCGATATAAATGCGGAATTATATTTAAAATATAGATATATATTTAGAATATTTAAAATTATCTGAATATATTGATTTCATTTGAAAATATATATACATTTGTCTGATGTGTAGAATTTTGATGAATTTTAATTATAATATAACTACATACTGTAATTAATAATTTAGTATATTAATTATAATTATAGTGTAAATTAATTATATGACATAATTTAATTAGATAATATAACATATATAATATTAATTAAAAAAAGGATATTAAGAGATATCTTTATATTCTATCTTTTATATTTCGTGTATAAAAGCCTCCAATATTTTCCTGATAAGTTTTTTGTGAATGAAATAGTGAGATAAATTATCAGTACTCACTATTAATAATAATATGATAAGAAGACGTAAAAATGTTTTGCTTTAAGTCATTTAATCTCTATGAAAAATTAGATAAGATAAACAAGTACTATTTAGCATCCAAGGTTGTGAAAGTAGGATATTTTATTCCGTTAAAAAATATTTTCCGCAAGAAAACTATTTGCTCTGTTCGTATTTAAAACTGCATTCAGTCACGTTATTCATGCAATTGCAAAAAAAAGGATAGACAGGTTCGAACGCATATTAATTGAAATGAACGTTTTACAATCGGCAAATTTAGATCAATTTAAATTCTCGGTCGTCATGTTAGAATAGGAGACTACAATATATTCGAGATTTATTACGATTACATAGAAAGTTAAATAAGAAGAATAAGAATGTGTCGATTGAATAATAAGATTACTCTTCCCTCAGTTCGTCTTCAAGGAAGAAACAGTATTCATGTTTGTCATATTTTTATTTGCAAATAGATTTGCAAATAGATTTTAGAATCAAGAAAAAGCTAACGTCATGTAACTTACGTCATGTGACACTCGAGAAAAATTGACAATACAAATGTTAATTTGCCGAATAATATAAATGTTAATTCGGTTGTTTGTGTTCAACATACCTATATAAAATTTATGCGTTTGAAAAAAAGACTCGCTGTATGTATTGTCATGTCGTAAAAAGTTATATATTTTTATTAGCGTTTTATATTGCGTGATTCTTTCTTAAACATGTAAAGGAAACATGTAAAGGAAAATGAAAAGATGTCCACGAGGATGCAGGAGTATCTCCTCTTTTGAATACACCGACGAAATTAGACTTCACGCGACAGAGAATTGTTCTGTCGCGACTTACACACACGATTACATCTCGATTAGACCAATTGTTCAAATGAAAGCTTTACACATGGCTGCCACGAGGATGATTCCGATGTGAAAGTAATATGCCAAGCCGACCAGCTGGACCGCTGCGTTGTAAGAATGGAACGCTAGATCGCCCGACGGTATCCACGGCTCCCACGTGTTGTTCGTCCTTCTTGGATCAGCAAGCCAGTCCACTGGCGACTTGAGCTGCACTGTGACATTGCGTCCGTAATGCTCCAGATACTTATCCAGCTCTCGAGCGATCTGCGAGGAAAAAAATGATTGTACAAGGTGTCCTCGAGCCCGTAACCGGTTACTTCGGAGTTTGAGAAAATAAGAAAGGCTTGAACTGTAATAAGCTAGACTAGATTTCAAGGACTTTTAATAATAAAAATGTTAAAAGCTTCTCGAGCCTGCGAGATGAAAAGAATGCGTGCTCGCTGACAACGCACTTGCTCCTGTAGAACTGGTATTTAGTTCTAGTTTGCGCTATTTAATGTTAACGACATGTTTTCTTACTCTTGGATATTGCTCCACTATGTTCTTCGTTTCGCAGGGATCGATCTCGATATCGAAAAGGCACTCGGTGACGTTGCAGGTGATGAAATTGTCTCTGTAAAAAGTGGCATTGGATCGACAATGGACCGTTGCTTCGTGCCGTAATTGAATCATCGTGCTGGGTTGAGTGGCTGGACCGCCCAGGAAAGAGGTGACACCCTGCGACACCGCGCTGTTCAAAATAGTCTCGGTGTATCGCGGCATGATCTCCTGTATGTTTTTCTTTGAATCGTTGAAGTAAAACATGGGTATAAAATTTCTTTCGAAATCGTTGTAATATCCGTCATAAAGGCCGTTCTCGAACGATCCTAAGACATAATTTTCCATAAATTAATAACCCAAATTGCTGCCAATGAATAAAATGTGCCGCTTCTTGAAAATCAAAGATCTACCGATCTTGAAATCTGTGAGCTTTTTTAAAACTATATTTTTAACATAAAAATTTTGGCGTGAAATTTGAACTTTAACGTTTATACAACTTCACGCTTTATCTTTGAAAAACTTTAAGTGAGAGAATTATTTATACAAAAATATTGTAAATGTTATTATTTATAAATTGTATATCGTTATTTTGTATCTTGTTTTGTATATTGTTATTTTATATAATCGCGATACCTCGAAGAAGCTTGTATTGCCTATATATGGCACCCTCGGTCTTGGAAACCTCGTCGATGTTCAGCAGCAGCTTGTCCCTGACTATCGGATAACCGTCTCTCAACATGCGCCACTGATTCACTCCGTCGATCTCCCCCAAATCCTTCAGATCACCATCAGCGGCGGCATAGAGGGTTGGTAACCAGTCGGTTATGTGCATCAGGTCGTCGCACACACGTGCTGCCTTACGCAATCTTTGTGACCATAGCACGGCAACTCCTCTCACCCCACCCTCGTAAAGCGTATATTTCATCTGCCGTCATAAATCACCCTGTTATATACTGCCGTATCTCTTAAAACATCAAAATGATTCATAAACTAATACATATCTCTGAGATACTTTCAAATAAATTAAATGAGCTACACTTATACCCTCAATATATAATATAATATACAATTATTCCTTTCCTATCAATCGTGTAATTTTATTCATATATTCTTTTCATTTAATTTTATTTAATTTTTATAATTTTAATTTAATTTTATTTAATTTTATTTTTTATTTAATTCATGTCAAAGATTGATAATAATTGAATATGCCCCCGGGGGACACAGATATACGCACGAGTCTTTATCGTTTTGACATTCGCGTCAGTCATACGCAATTAAAATACTTACACCTCGCAACGGATAATTAGAACCATAATTGCGGAATTTGCCAATGGGCGCGGCACCGTTGTCGGTGAGAAAGAGAATTAACGAATTCTTCAGCATCCCCGCATTGCCCAGAGCATGAAAGATGCGTCCAACGGAATCGTCTAATTTCGATACCATTCCTAACGAAGCAGATGTAATGAAATAAACAAGAAATAATAAGAAATAAACTGTTCCTTATAAAAAAAAAAATCTTAATTTTCACGTTAAGCTTAATTATAGTAATAGATATTTATTTTAATTATTTCACGTATCAATGTAAAACACGTATCATCGACGTAATCACGCACTTGCATACTTGCGGCGATTTTGTTCCCGTATGTGTATGAATCGTTTATCGTAATGATCATAATCTTGCGGGTTCTCGAGAGGTGCGTGAACAGCGAGATGTGATATTTGGAGATAAAGCGGCCGAGACGGTTCGTGACCCTGGATGATCCTGACTGCCTCGTCAGTGAAAAGATCTGTCACGTACTTGTCGGTTAATCCGTAAGCTGGAGCATCGCCACGATGCATATCGTATCCGCTCATATTCTGTACACAACAGGTAAAAAAATAAATAATAACAAAATGTAATAACAACTAAAAAGATAATTATAAATTGAAGGACAAATTTGTATAAATATTTTATATAAATAAATCATCAATTTTAATAATGATTATCAATTTTATCAATAATGTGAATTTAGAAATTTTAGCCTTATTTAATGTAGTGTTTTAAAGATATATTACACTTATTTTTATTTATAATAAAGAAAAATGAAAAATTATAAATTATTCTAAATTACATTTAAAGTAACACAAGAAATTTTGTAGCAATTTAGAACCTGGACGAAAAATTATTTAAATACAAAGTAGAACTCTCAAACTACTTTTGCTTTAATAAAAATGTAATTAAGAAATAATAACAAAAATCTCTAAACTTTTTTAGTAAGTAATTTAAGCATTTAAGGTAATTTAAAGTTTTATTACGTTTTATTGCAGAAATTGTTCTTTAAATAAAAATTAAATTTTTACTAAGAATAAAATAAATAAAATACACTTTTACTTACTTATTTAAATAATTTTTTTGATTCAGGTCGCCGCTAAATTTTTTTTTATACTATTTTTAAATATGTTTTAGAATAATCTATAAGTTTTTCATAATTTTTTTATTACATATATATATAAATTGTAAAAATAGGTGTAAGCCTTAAAACTGAACACTAATTCGTGTGCAGATGGAAGAAATATAGAATATATAAAAAATTCACACACAAATAATT